ACCCGCGACACCTCACTCAAATGTGTGTTATGTTAACTGTCTTCAACTTTATATTGACTGTGCAATTGATTTGATTACTTTATACTAATAACGTCCTCATACGCATTCCTTGCCTGAAACCCTTCAAATGTACAATATACATTTAAGGTGGGAAATAGCAGGTAACAGCCTTATAATATTATTACTCAGTTTTATGGCACAAACCTTAGCAGATTTGCAAAATATATTTTTTTAAAGTTATTTTGCTATTCTTTTTCCAAAATAATGCGCTATCTCATAATTGCGCTAACCTCAATTTCATGAAAGCAAAAGGAAAATAGTCTGTTCTCTGAACATATATAATTAAAAAGTTTCCGCTTTTTATTAATGTTCTTTTATGGTCTAACACGCAATAACGAGGAATTTTTTTGCGCGGCGTTTAGTAGCATAGGAAATTCCTCAGAAACCTTGGATTTGGTTCCCATTCCGCCCCTTTTTGCCTCCACTATACTGACTTGAATCGAACTCTTTTCTAGTAAACGGCATTTTGCACCTCAAGTCAACTCAATGAACAAAATAAACAACCACAAATGTGTGTTAAATAACCCACTAAAATTTAGCTCTTCATATTTCAACAGATATGCGATCTACTGTATATTTTATAGAAATTAGCTACAAAATGATCCTTTCTTGTACTGGTTTAGTTGAAAGTTACGACTTCTTCAAATTGAAAACGTTAAGCAACAGTGGATTTTGGTTTTAAGGGAGTTTCTAATTAGGAGATTTTTTAATACTCCGGAGTGTTCATTCATAAAGCATCATATCTGACCAGTTATTAGTGTTGCTTATAGAGTATATAATATGATCTATATTCAAGGCAAAATTTTGTGAGCACTATGTGACCTTTCCTGCATGGCGTAGAGAAATTTTGGATTTTCCTTAGACAGAACGCATACAACAGGCAGTTTTGAAACCTTGAATACACGTGTAACGGTCGGCTGAATTTAAAAGTATTCGGCTAGTTAAACCGTTCTTTAAAGTCACAAGATACCTCTTCTTCAACAAAAGCATTTAAAGAAGACGTACTCTGCTATTAAACGGATACAAGGAAGAATATTTTTGGGCCTATTTTCTATTAAAGTAATTTTTAATTTATAAGGGCACTGGCCATTAATGAGAGGCATGCATATCACTTAATTAGCTTCTGCAGGGGATCGGAAGGAAGCTGGCTCGAAGGCTGGCATCCCGAAGTAACCGAAATATTTTAAGATTAGGTTTCATGATAGTCAACGTTAAAACCCGCCTTAAGTAAGTATTCTCGAGCCGAAAACACCTTTCGGCATTTCGGTTGTCGTTTCATGAAATAGGCAATCTCCAAATACTAGTAGGGACGATCAGAAGTAATCCCTAATGTATTACAGTTGACCTTATATAAAAATCAAGGGGGGACGTGTTGGAGTAGAAAGAGAGCAAAATTTGAGTTTAACGTCTGAAAACGGGGAGGGTTAACCCCTGTGGCATTCACTGAAATAACACCTGTGTTGCAAGGAGAGGACATGTTCAGTCCCGGGCCATGCTCATTGATGTTTACGGTGAACAGCGTAAAATATTTTAACAGCTGCATTCGCACCCTTACTAATGCCTTTGACTAGACTGCTTTAATGAACAGACGACTGAAACACTGACGCGCTTTAAAACAAAGTCGCACCTCAAATAACACCGTTTCTTGACCGTAGATTTGCTCGGCACCTAACATCTCTGCTTTGCCTTCTTTTTTACGTGGCCACAGATCTGACGCTACCATCTGAGTCTATCACTGTGATTGGCCACAGCAGCCTTAACAGATCAGACAAATTTGAGGACCTGCTAAATGGCATAGCGCGAGAGGATGTGGAGGTCTGTACATGGGGCGATCTTTCCTCAAGGAAACGCTTCTGTTTCACCTCACGTGTGACCGGCTTGGCTGCCCTTCCGCGGGCCGTGTATAACTCCATCGCCTTTATCCCCATTAGTGAAGCCACCATCTATGAGATGTCCACCGTTAACCTGATAGACCAGCATGGCCACGCGCTGACGCCCACGAGCGACTCAGTCAGGGCACTCATTCAAGAGAAGACTGAACCTCCTCCTCCTCCTTCACCTTCACCGCCTGCAGTCACATCGGCCGAGGTGAACGACTCGAGGCCATATCCGTTTGTGACACTCCTCTACATGATCATTCCAAGGAATTTTACCGCTTATCATGGCAGTGGTCGTGATCTGCCGGATGACGATCAGCTTCTACCCCATGCTAATATCTGCACCCTGGCTTTGGAGGTTTCTCGGTTCAGTCGATGGATCCTCGAGTCGTCAGAAGCCTGCAGACCGATCACGGTGCATGGGGGCATGCGATATTCCGCAAACGCCTCCTATTACGCAGAGAAGTTGAAAGAGATAAGATGCCTGCACAACGGTGCCCTCATCACTGTCAGTGATTTTGTCCGTCTCCTCAAAGCCACTGCGGGCGACAACTCTGATCTGGACATTCAAACAGCTCTGACGGCTGCGGGAAACTGCTTCGCCATCACAGTCCTCATGCTGGGCGTTATGCTCATACGTCGCCTGTTCAGCGAACTGACGGATGTGCGAAATAATATCTGGCGCATCACCGAGCTAGACATTGTTCCCGCCTACGCCACTCAGACACGATCTTCTATCAGCTCAGCCAGTCAACTTCCCAGACTGCCCACTACCTGTGGCAGTGATGGGACTGTCAGCGCGGGTACATCTCCCCCGGCCTCATTCTCGGCAACTGCGGAGACCTCTAAAGTGATATTCGGCATCTACAAGTCCGTCAGTGTGACTCTGCAACCCACCCAACTCCAGCTCTCAATCGCTTTCGACTACCGCACTCGCAAGAGCTTAGTAGAGCTGCGTAACTTGGTTCACCGCAATATCCAACGCTTCTACGGACTGGCAGATCTTTCCGAGAAGCGAGACTTTCCGAGCGAAAACCAGCGCACACGTTTTGGCTTCTCTGGGGGAGATCAGTTCTCCGAACGGCACAGCTTCGCCTTCGCCCGTGCCGAGGTCTCGGTGTACTACGCCGTGATGGAACAGTGCTCCAAAGACAGTCTCTTCTTTTTCCTACACTGTTCTAGCCTGCCACTGCCGGAGGAGTTAAAGTTGCCGCTGGTGGTATCTCTGGTCTCCGGGCTGGAGTACCTGCATAATAAGCGTATTGTGCATGGGAAGCTGAGTTCGCCGTGTTGTTACTTTGACCACAATTTCACCATTAAAATTGGGGACTGGCATTCGCTGGATCGGTTGGAACATCAGGGTTATCTCCACGCTCACGACCTCTACATGCCGTCTAGAGTTCGAGCCTACCTGCAGAAGATGAGACTTATTCACGAGCACAAAATGATGCACAGGTATCTGGAGAACCTGGACAGTCAGTCGGTGATGTTGTTCCGTTGGCGACCACCTGAATGCATTCTACGGGAGCTTCCTCACGTGCGAGCTGTACTAGAGAGGCAGAAGATGGAACGGCCTAGAAAGAAGCCAGATGACAGTGAGCTGGGGGAGGAAGAGGAGCAAGAGAGTGACCTGGATACGGACGAAGAGAGGGCTGAAAGGGCGGCACTTTGCTCTGCAGAAATTCCACTTCAACACGTTCTTTCCCCAGCCGTCGATACTTACAGTCTGGGAATCATGATGAACGAGATTTGGGGCCGTAGTATCCCCTTTTCAGAAAACTATCCTCTATTCAAAAACGAAGTGGACCTTTTGGCGGCAATTTCGGACGGCAGCTTGGTACCTGAGCCTGATGGATCTATGCCAGATACGGTAAGATATGATATTATCTTGCGGTCTGCTCACAGAAGCAACATCGACGGGGATTAATTCTATATTCTTTACGTAGATTTCATTTCTATAGCACTACTAGTCATTTCATTTGCGTATGTGTGTTATTTTACGAGCAAGGTTCCGCTTAATTTAATAGTAAGTGTTAAACGGTCATAATCAACCAATATGCGCGATGTATAATTTTTCCGCCAGTTTACGCGTTCTTATTCCAAATCCTCTATATTTTGCGGTCTTGCCCGGCACCTCCTTGGAGTAGTAAAACAACCATGTAGCAGAAGTGCGATTTGGGTAGGTTTTCTCCGCAGATCCCATTACCTGCGCTTCTGTATGCCTCGCATTTGAAACCCCTTTGTCCTCCTTTCC